GCCAAGTGATTGGAATGTTCATGGGCGTTCCATGGCGGTTTCCCGACAGCCATTTCTATTATGACACATCCTACACTCCATACGTCACAGCTGCGACCATAGCTCTCTCCACGCAAGACCTGTCACGTGACAAACCAGTTGGTACTACATGTAAGTGGTCGTGAATAGTCTCTTTATTTTTCAGATTAGATCTGCAGAGAAAATTACTCAGCGTACAGGGGGACGGGGCAGAGGAAGCGCTAGACTGTTCCAGAAGTTCAGTTAGTTGACAAGCAGCGCAAAAAACGACCAAATTCACTCGCACGAAAACCTTCCTGGTTTTCTCTCGCCTCTTAAAGGAGCTCACTCACGGTATTTTGAGTTATTTTGACTACGTATAAAATTACCTTTAAATTGAAGGTAACCTGAAAATGGTAGCTTACTACAACTAAGATGGAAAAACACCATAGAGATAATAATACACCATAAAGGAACAAGGATGGTTAAGGAGGCAGAAGATTGACACGCATTACAAACGACGAACTTGAAAAATTTAGGCTAAACGTTTCAAGATGCGCAACCGTGACGTAGCTCCTTTAACCAAACCCCTGAATCTGCCTAAGGAAGCACCTCCCTTCCCTCCCTTCCTAAGTAGTTTCTTCAAGGTCTTCACAGTCCAGCATGACCAACCCAAACCTTCGTTGTGGTTGATTTCAAAACACTCATACTACTCTGTGGAGGCGCGAAGGCCTCATGGTTAGTTTGTTCGCCTCCGGATCGAGCGGTCCGCGTTCGAGCTCTAACAGGGAACATTGTGTTGCGTTCTTGGGCAAGACACTTTACTCTCACAGTGCCTCTCGCCACCCAGGTGTACAAATGGGTACCGACGAATTTAATGCTGGGGGTAACCCTGCGATGGACTAGCATCCCATCCAGGGGGGAGTAGAAATACTCCTAGTCGCTTCTTATTACAGAAACCGGAGATAAGCGCCGGCCGGATGAGCCATTAGCTTTGTATGCAGACTTAACCTTACCTTTACCTAGCTACTCTGAGGTGACAAGTTTTACGAACAAAATTAACACACATACCTCGGGAGCCATAAAGGCGATCGTTCCAAGCAGCTGTCCTTGGAATTCACCAGCGCCAGTCATTTGAGTTGCTAGCCTCGCTGCGGCACCGAAATCTGCTATGCGAATGTTCTGTCCTGATGAATCCACCAAGATATTTGCTCCTATGTACGGTAAATCAGGATATTGATACCTTGTGAAGAAGTCCGCACTGAAAGCCGACTTCTGAACCTCTATAGAAACAGGGCTAACGCAGTGAAGATAATTTACATCTTGATAATCTCAATAAACGAATGAAAATACTGTTCGAGGGAACTTGAAAAAAAACTGTGGAGACACTCGCCTACGGCTCGTGTTCTGACGCCTCTTCTCGTTTCCCAACTTCCCTTCGAAAGAAACACGGAAGTTGTTTCATTCTGTTTCTTGTGGCAACACACTCTTAAGAAGAAAACTTTATGAAAATCGAAAAATCGTAATAATTACGCTGAAGTCATATTTGATGGAGAGCATTTTAAAAAACTGATTCAGTGAAATATAACTTCTTTAACAGACCCTGGGAATCACAGACTTGACTGGACGTTACTGGCAGGGAAGACGAATGAAAAGTGGCCATTACGTCAGATTGCTCTAAACTTTAACAACTATTGATTTCTAATGGTTACACATTATACATGTATTCTTAACCACGCAAGTTGTTTTACTGCGCCTTTCAATAACATGCGGACTCTAAAATTCAAAGCTCAACCGACAAATGAGTTTTTCGCTACTGTCAATCAAATCATCGGCGGCTTCTCCCAGCTTCCGACTACTGCCCCGCGCGCAGTAACCAAATCTTTGAGCAAAGTTCAGACAACGAAACAGTGCTCGGAAGCTGGGAGGAGCCGACGAAAATTTGATTGACGGTAGCGAAAAACGCATTTGTCGGTTGAGCTTTGAATTTTAGAGTCCGCATGTTATTGAAAGGCACAGTAAAGGATGGCTAACTTGCAAGTAATGAGTTCATTTACCTTTAATATCTCTGTGAATCACTTGGTTCTGATGAAGGTAGGCCACGCCCTGAAGAATCTGTCTGGTGTAGTCGATCACAATCTTTTCATCAAACGCACCATATTTTTTTAGAAGGTTTGTGATGGACCCGCCTGAAACAGAAACACGAGAAACGAAATTAGAGAACGTCGTTATTTGAAGTGAATGTAATGAGCGTTGCCGTCAGCTCTCCACTGTTCTAAGTTCTGAATAGATCCTTACAACAGATGCCAAAACAAGTCTTTCTCCTGAACAAGGATTAGTTTATCGCTACCGAGAAGCGAGTGGAACGCGAAATAAAGGTTGTTTTGTTTTATTTCGAACATTTTCCAGTCGGTCGAGCCAAAATTGTCTTACAATTTATATTCTCACTGAAATTTCCGAAATTTTTGAGCAAGTGGTAAGAACTAATCGAAAGCATTCGCAATAGAGCAGTTTTCAACTGAGAGTCGTATAACCAAAACCGAAGTAATCACTCTAGCCAATCCCAAAGGACACAGACAATTCAGTGAACCAATCAAAACTCGAAGTAATTACACGTAGCTGATGCAAAGCGCGGGAAAACGAGTGCGAGTGAGCTACAATTGGTTTTGATTTTACTTCTGATTGGATGAAAAAGTGGCGCGAGTTTTTTAAGCCAATCGTGTGGCGAAGTTGATGCGAAACCACTTACTTTTCGACACTTGAATGAAAATCGTTCTAGGAACAAAACGCAAAGGTGAAGCCAAACACCTCATCGAAAGGGAAGAAGGGCAAAAATGTTTCACGACCAAGCGCCGACGTCTTAAGACGCTATTCCCCATTTGAAAGTGTTTAATTTATTTACCATGCAAGTCCAAATTCAAAGCCGAATATATGGGACTGCGTTAACTGATAAACTAGCAGATCTAATAAATCGTAAACATAACTAATAAATCGTAAAAACAGCTTCTTTGAAAGACTCAAGCGATTCTGCCAATGTTACACGACTGGGCAATTTGTTCCACTCCTATAGAGTCCGAATGGCAGGACTGAAAACTTGTAAAAATCATGCTTAACAATGTGTACTTTCAAAGCATGTCCCGATGAGCGTGTAGAAGAATAATTAACTGGGTGAAGATCGGCATTATCTACATTTATTCAGGAGGACGATTCAATCAGTAAATTTGATCTAACCTGGCATCCACTCTAGGAAGATGTTGAAGTGCCCTGTGTGTTTTGTTGCACCCAGACATTTGATGAGATGAGGATGTTTCAGTCTGCCCAGCAGTGAAATTTCATCGTCTATGGTCTGAGTCACTTTGTTCTGTTCCTCGGTCGAATTACGGCAGAAAGAAACCTACCCAATAAAGTCAAATTACCTTGTTGCTTAAGAGAAAAGACATGTAATGTAACTGACATTGTTTTATCAGTGTTAATGCTAGAACGAGATAATGTCAACACAGAATTGAATTCAAAATACACTTAATACAGTGTGGAAAACACAACAATTAAAAGTCGTGGTTTACGTTCTTTAAAATTGCCATAATTTGAAGTGGTGATTTCATGTTGCTGTTTTACAGAGAAGTGTCTCAAGTTCAGGGCTCGAAAAAAAACTGAATTCCAGCTTGCCCTTGGGACAAGTAGCTCTTAAAGTTTGCTTGCCCTGGGCAAGTCTTATTTTGCTCTTTTAATGATTTAATTGGCAGATGATTTGCTTGATCTCTTGCCCATGGGGCAAGTGAGAATGAAAAGTTACTTTCCCAGAACGAAAATCTACTTGTCTGGGACAATGGGACGGCACTTTTTTCGAGCACAGTCAAGATGTATGACGCACTTACAAGACTCCTGTTTTGTGCTGGAGTCTAGTTCTCTCGCGATTCTATTCGCGCGTTCAACGATCGAATAAAAATACGAGAAAATAGCGGGCTGTGTTCCCCAGTCTATTACAAATCCATCAAACAGTTTATCAAACCTCAAGTTTAACTCGACGTTCCCACTGCAGTTGCTGAAGTGGTTTGCTCAACTTTGTTAAGGCACTTTTTATACTAGAGATTGAGATGCAAAATTCGTCTAAAGGCCCATTTACACAAGTGAGTTTTGGTCGCGAAATCGCCATTTTTGTCGCACTCGCCCAGCAACCAGCTGCACTTTCAGCGTGATTTGAGTTCAATTTGATTGCAACCTTACTAGAATTTCTACGAATCTTTATAAAATGACAGCTCTAGGTTTTGTTTATACATGTCTTGTAAACAATTATGGCATTCCTTTCGTGGTATATATTAGTTCGGAAGCTGCGGCGATATCATAATGAAATTACGGACGAAAAGCACTGACACAGGAGCTGGCTTTTACACGCGGTCAACCCCAGGCACGACAAAAGTCGTAGTTGAAATAGCGACAAAAGTTGAAGCGAATGATGCGCCAAAACCACCTACAACCACAAGGGACTTTGACAAAGTCTAAAAACCTAGCCAAACTTCGTCCAGATGGATTATACGTTGCATTATGAAATGTACCTGTTTGACAGCCATAAGCGATCCATTCATGAGATCTCTGACAGCATAACAAGATGAGTAGGCACCAGTCCCTAGTAGCTCTCCTTTTTTCCAATGAACTCCTTCCAGATACAGATGTTTTGAGTTGACGGCCTTTTCCAAGGACTACAGAGTAAATGACGCACAGTCAAGGTATAGTCTTTCTAAATATCTTACCCTGCCATTGTATGAGCTTTAGATGCATTAAATAATGATATATAAATCACTATTCTGTTTGCCAGGTGTGGATAGAGTTTACCATCTTGCTTGACTGTCCTCGTTTCCATAGATAAACAAAGACAGACAGACAGACAGAAAGAGTCAAGAGAGAAAGGGACAGACAGTTCTGTTCAGGGCTTGACTTTCAGGAAAAAACCTCGGGGCCAGCTGGCCCCTAAGTTTTCAGATTTAGTCGCCAGAAAAAGTATATCAGTGAAAAGCATGAAAAGTTAGTCACCAGTGAAAAAAATTTGGTCGCATTGGCAACCGCAGCAGTCGCAACATTGAGCTCTGCTTTTACATTCAGGGGCTTGATTAAAGGCTGGGCACTTGGAAAATAGACCAGCTGTGAGGATGATTTGAACATCTAGAGAAAAGTGTTTCTTATAAAGAAGCTCAATTCAAAACGTTTTGCCTGGTTATGAAGTGAGTCACCCTCCTGCTGAAAACCTTAATGAAATCTGACATTTGAATACTGTCCCACAGAAGGAAAATAAAAAAAGGGTTGACCCACGTCACTAACAATATTACTCCTGACCTGTAAAATTAATGATTATACCATCAATGGTTACATGAACAAATATTTTCACAAATATTTCTTTTACGAATTCCATCAAGAGACCAACCCACCTCTGGTTGTGTAAAAACGATAACCATTTCATCACCTGAATCCAGACTTGCTATCTTAGAGGGGCCACGGTCATGCGAGGAGACAGCTATGGCCCTAGCCATGGCTTCTGCTTCCTCCTGCTCAATTATCTCCAGGCATTTCTTTCCAACTGCCAACTTGACAGGTGGCATTTGAGGAGAGTCCTCTATTGACCTGCTCCAATCGAGATTGAGTTCTTTATTGGGAGAAAGAGCATTGGGAGAAAAGCAAAACGACTCTGGTCTTTCGATGGTGTCCACAATGGATTGAAAAAGTTCAGATTCTGAAAAGTTGTCAGTTTCGTCATCTGATGCTGCTGATGACAAGCTGCCAATCGCTGAATCCCGATAGCTGGTATTTGAAGATGGCGGATCAGTGCTGGCTTGAGATTGAATACTATCAACAGTGTTGCTGCTGTGCGACGGAGCTGTACTGACTCTAGGGATTGCTTGAAGCTGACGATGAAGAGCACTGCGCTGAGCTGGCTTGAGCTTAGAGACAACTTTCTTGATGTGTTTAAAAGCAGATGGGGAATGTGATGCTAGTGAAGTGCAAGACATCAGGACAGCAATTGCAAGCTTGCTGACCTTGCTGTGGGAACAGTACGCAGCCTGCACAGTAAACTTCAACACTGACATCAGCCGAGTTACATTGTCCTGATAAATTTCATCTTCATCCTCACTGACATTTGCTCCCCTTGCCTGGATGAGAACACCAGCAGCCTCCATTTGGACAGATGCACAATCAGCTGAGAGCTCAAACTCGCTGACGTATTCATCCATTAGTTTCCGTAGAAACATAAGCCGTCCCAGCCACCATGGCCAGGTGGCATATTCTGCCGCAGTCCGTAAGATACAAGATAAAATGAAGTTCAGACCGCCCAGAGACTGTGGTTCGTGTTGTTCACCAAGCATTTTGCCGAGTGCCAGGTCTCCCGATTCATCCTTGCAGAGTTCCAGCAGAACCTGTATGGACAAGGTGCTAATACGCCTACAAGGGCCAAGAAGAATTTATTATTAGTAATAAATATTGTAGGTACAAAAACTGTGTAGTACTCATTTTGGTTTAATATTTCTAAAGTAATAATAAATGTATTACAGAATTTTAAGGAAAAGCAGTGTGAAGTACCACCAAAATAAATCTGTAATATACACTGCAGCCGTCACTAATTGCAACAGAATATAAACCAGTGTTCTGAGAGCCAGTTATTGCAACAAGATTAAACAACAAAGACAATTTTGCAGTCTCCTCAAAAAACTTTGATGGAGAAATGAATTGTGGCCTTAATCAGAAAGTTCTAATTAAAAGCACTAAATTAAGCAACTGGTAAAGGTAAAGTCTGCTTACGAGCCAAGTGGCCCATCAGGCCGNTATACACCTGGGTGGAGAGAGGCACTGTGAGAGTAAAGTGTCTTACCCAAGAACACAACACAATGTCCCCAGCCAGGGCTCGAACCCGGACCGCTCAATCCGGAGACAAGCGCACCAACCATGAGGCTACCGCACCTCCCTAGGTTAAGCAACTGACTGACCGGTTAGAGTCAGCACACTTTGCTAACACAGCTTCCACAACACCAAACAGGTACTTCTGGATCTGTCTTTTTTCTTGTTGTGAGGAGTAAGTCATGTACATCACCAATACACGAAGAGTTCTCTGAAAAAATAATTTAGACATAGAGTTGGTGAGTGTTTTCCACAGTTTTGTCATCCATGGCAAGCAGGGTCATAATCAATATGAGGCAAAGTAACTGAAGGCACTTGCCTCAGTCATTTTTTGTTTTGTTTTGGAGGAGAAGAGAAGAGTAAACAGCGGTAACCTGGGAAGAGAATTAACTTAACCATGGACATTTACTCAGTCATAATTTTATTTCTGGCTATGGAATCATGAAAGAGTGCTCCATATGTTGAACTAAATTAAATAATAAAAAAATTAATACAAACCAGTGCAGCCACGTAAACTCGATAAACAGGATCGCCACACATCATGGATAACAGGGAACAGCCTGCTTCAAAGGCGGCCATGTTCTGTGCGCTGCTACCTTCTAAAAACACTGTGTTGATATCCTTGCTCAGGCGGCGCAGAGCTGTTTCTCGCACATTCCATTCACGAGAAAATAAGCAGCACACAAGGTTCTCTCCAAATGCCTGACGGTTAAGGCGTAACAATTAATCACAAAATAACATGAAAATCCTTTTTGAGTACCATATTGAGTACTTTAAACAGCTACATATGCAAGATTAATTAGCAAAGTAGAAATCATAAATTGTTGAGCAGGGGTCGAGACTACATTTATGTAATGGACACTCAAGTAACTTTTTGTTAAGTCTAAACGTTAGTCTCGGCTTAAAGCCAATAAATTTCTTCCAATTTTTTTTTTTCCGGCTCATTATCATGTCCCACCTCAATCCATGGTTTTGCCAGTTCCATTTGGGCGGCTGGTACTGGGTCTGAATGCGGCAAAGTGACCTCCTCTGGCCCTAAAGGTGCTGCCACCCTTGGCAGTTCAGATCGTATACTGCGACTCGGAGATCTAACAAAACAAAACAGTCAAAAATAACTTACTATTCATTCGATAGTCAGAATACTGCCAACTCTGAGTGAAGAATGGTGTGGCAGGCTGTTGTTTTTTATTTGTCGTCTAAAGGTCACTGTATTGTCTTGCCAAAACTTATCAATTTTTCCATAGCATTTAGGAACTTGGAGTATTTATACTGCACCCCCCACCCCTTGCACCCTAGATGGACTACTTACATCCAGTCCAGCACAGGGTTACTCCCTAGCACTATATCTGGGGTACCCAGTCATACACCTGGGAAATTTAAAGAGAGGCACTGTGAAAGTGAAATGTCTTACCCAAGAACACAACGCTATAACTCTGGNTCACTAAGAGAGTAAAGTTTCTAGCCCAAGAACAAAATGTAATAATCCTTGCACATACTTGAACGTTGACTGCTCAATACATAGTCCAGAGTACTCCAGATTTATTTACCTGTGGTCCAATCATGACACGGAATTTATGATCTGGTGAGTCTCCACCAATGAGAAAAGAGTTAGGTCCTGACTGTTGTAAGAGGTAGAGTCTTGCTCGCATGGCTTTCTCTACTTTGCGTTTGAATTCATTTGACACTTCATAGACAGGAGATGAACTCCGTGGAAATGAGAATGATACAGAATTGGAAGGTGAGTTGCCAGGTGTGCGTCGCCGGGTTGGAGGAGATGGTACCTTCACTGGCTGGAATGCAGAAATTTGGTGACAGTTAGTAATGGTCTGCGTAAGAATTAGCCAAAAGAAAAATAGGCTGCAGCAATGGTTCAAACTTTAGATTGGCACGTACTGTAGCACAACGCTCACATTTGCCAGTGCAGCAGATTACAGGGGCATGGGAAAAACTAAATATAATAAATGTTGAGTTTCTCTTTGTCATCTTGGCAATATTGATTATATTGACCAACCAGATTTGCTGATTTAATTTAAATTTATAATAATTTCTTAAGACTGGCCTGCCTAGTTCTTGTGCAGACAGTCAAATCTGGTCAAGCATTCCTTGCAACATAAAATATTGAATTAAAAATATATCAATAAAAAAATAGAAATTTCACCTTCCACAAACTTCTACTCTTCAAATGAAGAGTTTGGTATACAATAAAATATATATTCAAAATGAGACCAGTTCAGAAATAAAAAATTAAGAATGAAATTAAAAATTTATTGCTAATACCTAGTATTTTGTAGGTTCTTCATATTCAAGCTACTTGTACATGCAAGCTGAGTAAAGAGTCTGTGATTTAATTTTTTTGTGATAACTGCAGAAATTCTTACGCGCTCATTGGCTAATTTTCATTGTCGATAAGTAGACAGACACGTGAATTTATAATTTATGCGATGTGTCAACAACTGAGAACAGACAGTTTGACAATTTGTTATCGTAAAAAACAAATTGACGTCAGTTTTTCGTGCATGCATCTGTCCTGTTATTGACAATAAATTTTGTCATAACATTGTCAAAGTAGTTTGCAGATCCACTTGGCTATCACCTCGTGGTTCTACAGCTACTTTGACAATGTTATGATGAAATTCATGATCAATAACATGAGAGACACAAGAAAAACTGACGTTAATTTATAGAGTCAACTTTACAGATTATGAAGAATAAACCAAACCCTCCTAAGTTAATGGGGTTATTCCTAACTTAGCTAGAACAAAACAGTTAAGGATATAATGTATTAAAGTAAAATCACACCCTCCAAAACGAAGTCAAAAATGATTATTTTATCAACAAAAATCTACAATTTAGAATCAACTATATACAATGCTAACAATGGGGAATCGTAACAAAAGGAAGTTTAAAAGATCTACTCACTGACCATTGATCCAAGCTGAGCAGCTTGGGACCTGGCACTAGCACCAGAAGATGTTCCAGGTGAAGGAGGCCTGGCTACCTAGGGTTTAAAAACACAAACAGTACTTTGTAAGAAACTACACTAATTGCATTTAACAACATTTATTTGTAAGCTTGAAGTAACTAGAAAAGTATTAATAATGTTTAGAGTTTGTGAAAATAAAACTGAAAACAAGGGCATTAGTCAATTTTTTTGGCTGTCTCCAGCTTCTGGCAGCGCTGGTCAAAAAAGAGAGAAATAAACATTATCGTAGGAAATTTCGCTCCTTAGCTAATAAAATCCCCTTCTTTCATAACTCTTTCCTACACTATTTTGATGACTTGTTTAATTAAAAAAAGATGAAAATGTTAGTAGGGTTGTCATTCAACATACTGCACAAGAATTGTGAAAAACAGATTTAAAATTCCCTCACAATTTCATAGATTTAAGAGTATTACACAGGCACAGTTTCAACCAGGGAAATGTAATAAGCTATAATAATAATTTGTTTTAAATACTGAACACTGCTGACTGGCATCTTGGATTTCATTGGTTTTTAATCCATCAGGGTTTCAGATTTCTTCTTTGTAATGCTCACAACAAAACAATGCTAAACATAATTTCCGTCTTTCACACAAATGCTATTGCATCTTATGGTTTCCTCCAACAACAAGTTTTACTGCTTACAATTTAATTATATTTTTCAGGAATCTATTCAAAAAATAAACTTTAACAGACTTTGACAAGGAAGTTGCAGATCACATGTCATTTTGTCATTAATAATTAACTGGATGTATAATTTGAACAAACAGCAGTTGAAATAAACAACATTCCTCGTGGAAAAATAAAGTTCGAACATAAATGTATCACATTTACCAACAAAATAATGGAACATTTTGATACGTTTTGCTTCAAGTTATATTTAAGAGATAAAAATAGAAATGACATTCTGATCTTGAAATGCTAATACACTTGCCTGTGTAAATTTGATACTAACATAACTTAAGCTTATTTTGTAAACTGCATCTGTAAATTTAGGGTAAAAGAAATGGAACAACGCATCATGTTTCTGTTACAAATCATTTTCGTAAAATCGATATTGGTGAATGTAACACATATCCGTATGTTCTCCATTGATAATCGTCTGCTAAGAAAATTAGCACGTTTTTTTTTGGAACTCGCGAGTGTCGGATAACAACATCAACATAGATAATGTACTACAATGTATTTTGAATCGTAAGGAGCGAGTCAATGAAAATATAATTTTCTGTGTCAGAAAATTGCGAAACAGTTAATTTTACAGCAATTAACTAAGAACAAAATGTACTATTTCCGTTCAAATGAACAAAAATTTAGGTAAAAATGGCCAATATTCAATCTTACTGAAGACGCACGGTCGCAACCTGTAGATCACTTACCATCGGTTGTGTTTTCCTCTTCACAGCTGGTTCTTTATCTTTCTTCCACGTTGGCATAGTTTTCAGCTTTTCTCTCAGCAGTGCTTGTTCCTCTAAAATGGGCCTGATGAAGAAGGAGGCAAGCAATATTTTTCAAACGCCAATCGGTTATTTTCAAAACAAACTCGGTCGACCATGAAGGACATCGCGGTTGTGCACATTTTAAAACTCACTTCGTCGATTCCGTTATTTTCGCAGCTGCGGGTTTCTTTTCTTCTTCAGTCTTCTGCATCTCTTTTCCCGGTTTCCCAGCTTTCTTCCACAGTGGAAGAACGGCATCTGTCGGGCTCTGAGAGGCCATTGCAACGGAAGACACACTTGCAATCTTCCCCTACTCGCGTTCTTGTCGTTCCTTGGGAAGGAATTCGATCGTGTGGCGGGAGAACAAAAGCGGATGCATTACATCATTTTTAACCAATCATAGTACAGAGATTTGAATTGCCATGTTTTCCCGCCTACGTTTTACCAAATATGGTAATCAGTAGCAAGTCAGTCGCTTTGCCGTGCTGGTCGCCATGGTTGACAAAGAAAACAATATTGAGTTTATATGTTCCTTTGTGTGCGTTTTTGAAGTCAGCGGCTAATATTTTCAATCAGCTTTCGGTTATTTGCATTTTATTAGAGAATTTGTTGAAGACTTTTGCAGTTTATTTGTGTCATCTTGGGCGCGATTTCTGCAGACACGCTTGACAGCATGTTTGTGGCAGCTGAAAGATGATTCTTTTTTGGATTGTATTTCACGGACTGGGCTGTGTGGAGAGTAGATTGTTTACTCAGGGTGTAAACACCACAACTTAGCGATATTTCATCCAAACGACAAATGGCTTCAAGGTGTATAAGTACTCTTAATGAACTGGACAAGATTTCCGACAGGATCTACTACAAACATTCGAAGGTAAAAATCCTTTACGAGCACAACGGAGAAGTTCGCTAATTGACTCATTGCTTTGCTGTTTCCGTAATTGTGCTAATTATACATTGTTGTCTTTTTCGTATAGTTTGTTTACTCTTTTTATTATAAACTTCTAGGGGAGGTTTCGTGCTGGCATAGAAGCTAAACTCAAAGTTTCCAGAGAGAAGGCTGAGCGATCTTTGCGGGATATTGACAAGGAATCGTCGTGCAGTTACAAGACGGCGTCCAGTTACCGCTCCAGTGTCAGGTAACACATATTTGGTTAGTTACCACTGACGTTGGTTTTACTTTTTCAAGGATTATGCGGACGGATGAGAGATATGACAGATCTTAAAGTATATTTTACAATCTCTTGGAAGTTCTGTGTTTTCCAATGTTAAATGAAGAAAAAAAACCCAAAGCATTTGACTGTAGATCAAGACGTTAGCTTTTATAAAATACGTGAGATACTACGCGCGCTCTCATTGGTCGATAGGTGTGTTTTAATGAGAGTATGTAAACACCGTTTTGACGTTTTAGATTTGCGCCTTTTTTGCGAAACATTATTAGTGCACTCAACTCTGGATTGATCGGTCCAGGTTCGAGCCCTGGCCAGGGACATTGCGTTGTGTTATTGGGCCAGACACTTTACTCTCACAGTGCCTCTCTCCACCCTGGTGTATAAATGGGTACCAGCGACCTATAATGCTGGGGCTAACCCTGCGATGGACTAGCATCCCATCCAGGGGGAGTAGAAATACTCCTAGTCGCTTCATGCTACCGAAACCAGGATAAGCTCAGGCCTGATGGGTCACTTGCCTCGTATACAATATGGCCTCATCTTAACTCTTAGGAGGCTGGGAGAAATCTCAAAAGTTATGCAAACCCTTGAGTGGCTCTTGGGTTTGCATAACTGTCTCAAATTCTCCAAACCCCCCTCATGCTTAATATGAGGCTATGTAAACATGGAAAAAAAGTGCTCTTGACTATTGCTTTTTAAAAATTAAGATCTGGCTTATTTTATACAATAAAATGATGGCTTTGTCTCAAGATACTTTCATGAAAAGAAGTAATAAATAAAGCGTTTTTAAGTGTTTTCAATCCCTTTAACGAAGTGCTCAGAAATTGGTGGTACATCCAACACAAAGCTAAAGCATATCCTCTACTTGGCAAAATAAAAAAAACCTTTTCATTATTTCAGAACATCTGGTTCCACTGTTTCCTCAAGATTCTTTTCTGCATCAGCGTCAACTACATCAAGATCTATAGCTTCTGAACATCCAAACAAAGGAGGGAAAGACAAAGCGTACAAGCATTCCATGACAAAATCAATCACAAATGGACATAGAGAAAAGATACAAAGAAGGAAAACTAAATCATGCCCAAGCTGTACTTTGTCAAGCAAGACAAGTGGCAGAGATGAAAAAAACCAAGACAATAAAGCTGATATTCCTCGCACTGCATCTTTTTTTGGCAAGTACAATGGAAAAGATTCTGAATATAAACCCACAGTGTGGTTTAATCTGCCGCAAGAAACAAGTGTTGGTGTCATCGACTCATTTGCATGTGACACAAAGAATACAACACCTCTGTGTTACTCAATTAATGTTAAGAAAGGTGAAAGTGTTCCAAATCTTTTGAGGCATAACTTAGAAGTGAGAGTTGGGCAAAATGGTGTAGTTAGAACAGAAAAGAACAGAGAGAAGGTTCCTGAACTTGGTGATGAAAATGCAAAGCAAGGGAAAAAAAGAACTGCTCCATTGAATTGGGAAGAGCAATTGAACTGGCAGAATGTGAGTATCTTATTGTTCGAACATTCAGATGTTCTGTCTTAAATCTCACACCTTTGGCCTGTACCCTATGTTAAATTCGTGGACAAGACACTCACAGCCCAAGTGAATAATATGAAAGATCATTAATTATATATTTGAATTGTGCAATAGCAGAAACAATTAAAGACGGCAAAGATCATCGCATCCTGCAAACCTGGACAGATTTCTGGCTTTGGTTTCACTCTCCTGAAACAAAAGCCAAAAATCTACTATCACAGATAATCACAGTTATACATGCAACTTAGGCAGTTACAAAAATGAAGCCCCCAAAAAACATCAAGCTTTTATGGATTTGAACCTATGACCAGTCCTAAGTTGTGTACACTCTTAGCTGCCTTTATCTTTTGTCTTTAGAAAAAATATATTCGTGGACTTGTACATCTTCACAATCTACAGGAACATAATAACCCGCGTAGAGAGGAGTGCTTATCAAGGAAACTGGCGCTGAGCATCAGATTCTTTAGCTGTGTCAGTTCCCAAAAGGTCATCCTTTAGTATTTTAGAGGAATACTCCAGCCTGTGATATGGAGTTTTTACAACCAAAAGTTACATTTGATGATTGTTATGTGTTGATGTTTGTAGGCTTGTGTCATTTCTGCGGGACTGCAGACAGATGATGATTCATCTTCAAAGGTAAAAGATGTATTTCATCATTTTCTTTTCTTGATCCTGCAAAACTGCTCATAACCTCCTTTGCGGAGATCCTCTAATCTTTATGCTCACCACACATTCCGAACGTCCTGTGTGGGAGGAAATTTGATATGCCCTAAGGGTGTCTGTGTAAGAGGCTAAATCGCTAGGGGTATGGGTGGAGTCCCTGGGGAGGGTTGGATGGTTACACGTCATTGTCAATAAAGTTGCAAGAGTTACATGTAGTGCGTGATCAAGATCTGAAGGGATAAAGGGAAGTGGTCAATCAACATTGTGTAGTTTCAGAAAGTATCAGACCATACCCCTGCCATGAGGGAATTTCACATAAGACCCCCAACCTCCACAGACTGTACATTTTTTGAACACAAAAATAACCCCACCCCTCTGAATTTCCAAGAGTATTATATACATTCCCACTGACCATTCAACCCTTCTCCCCTCTGGAATTCTGTGGGTGTTTGATCCCCTACTCTTCCAGAATTTCCAATTCCCTCCATTGTGGGGGTATGGATATTTTCTGTAGCCACCCATTCCATATTCATTCAAACTGGAAAATCACTATGGATCACTATTTGCACACAGAATTTAATGTTGATGCTAAACCATACACAAAATAATTTAAATATTACTAAGAACTTATGACTGAAATCCTCCTTTTAACATTTACAGCTTACAGTCAACATAGTTAAATGTAACTGGAGTCACTAAACTACGATCAGTGTCAAAAAGAACATTTTAATTTGAAATCTTAACTTTCAACTTGAAGTTAAACTCCACAATGAACCAGCATCTTATCAGTGGCCTTCAGCTGCTTTTTTTTTTTTTTTTTTTTTTTTCCAGCTCTTACTTTTGCCCCTTCCCCTGCACAACAAGCAAATTCATAAATTGTCATATCCACCCCTAAGGAAGGTCATTAGAAATTACAAGTGGAACAGGCTTTAAATGCAAAATTTTTGAAGCCATATATTCCGAAGGGGAATCTCCAGATCAGGGGGGGGGGGGGGTTCATACTAGAGAATAGTCCCCAGATCGAGGGGGCGGTCATACCAGAAAACCGTCTGTTGTGAGGGGTATGCATATTTATTTTCTGTGTAACTGTCATTTGAACCATACAATCAGGTTTTTGTAGACAAGATTGTGGCAGCTGATGGATGCCTGGCATCAGAATTAAATCATTCTCTCATCTTAACGGGTTAAAAGGTAAACAGTATAAAATGTAAAATGAATTTAAAACTTATCGTAAACAGCTAATGTTGCAAGTTGTACATTGCTAAAAAGTTGAACTGAGGTTAATGAATATATCTTAAGGTGATTTCTTCAATTTTGTTTAAAGTATTTTTTAAATCGTCAAAGTATTTTACAATTGTAATAGCAAATTAATATAAGCCAGTAACGTCAGTAACTGTTGAGAGTGGATTACACGTCTACGAGCTCTTTAACATTTGTTATACTTTTCAACTGTTTTCGTTCAAATACTTCCATTCCCTCTTGAAGGTAGTTTCACAGTCATTGTAAAGTTGCGTCTTTTTTTTTCAAATGGTCATTCTTAACGGGGATTAGTTCTCTGAAATTTTCCTCGCAAAATCCTTTCCTCCTACTATTAAACTGAGACAAAAAAACCTTTCTTAAAGTTAAAGAAAAGTAGCTAAATCTTAATTAAACTTTTAAGTTTATCTTTCATAAAGCTCTGAGGTTTAGAGCTCTAAAGGCTGGTTTTCACTAGCGATGGAGTCGTAGTCGGAGTCGTAATCAGAAGCGTAAAGCGATACGATCTAGTGAAAATCAAACCGACGGAGTCAGAAGCAGAACACCGCATCCGCAAACGCATCCGCTTAAGACTCCGTCGCTTACGATCTAGTGTAAACTAGATTGTCGGAGTCGGAAGCAAAAGCGGAAGAATAAACCAATCACACTGCTCGATTCCGGGCCTTGTGATTGGTTGGTTCTTCCGCTTCTGCTTCCGACTCCGACAATCTAGTTTTCACTGGATCATAAACGACGGAGTCGTAAACGGAATCGGAAGAAATGGAAACGTCCTGATTCTTCCGACTCCGACACCGTCGCTAGTGAAAACCAGCCTTAAAGAGATTCAGACAAATTGACAAACAAAGACAAATTTAAAAACAAACAAACGTTGTAATTGTACGATTAAACTTAACCTCCTTAAAGGTGCGCCATAACATTGTTGGGTAACATTGTTAAGTATTAGCCACAACCCGTTCTAAAGAAGAGTTTGGTCCTTTCCACAAATTTGTGTTATAATGGGATTTCTCTTATAACGAGCGATCGTCGAAATGAACTATAACTTTCTCAGACCATTGCCGCTTCGTTATGTAATTGTATGTCTGTTATCGGTGTTCTAAATCTATTGTAAATGTGCGAGAATACATAACAACTAACATCTACACTTCAAGGAGCTACGTCACGGTTTGCGCATATTGAAAAGTTTAGCCTCAATTTTTCAAATTCGTCGTTTGTAATCCGTGTTAATCATCTCCATCCTTAGCCATCCTTGTTCCTTTATGGTTTATCATTATCTCTTTGGTGTTTTTCTATCTTATTAAACTGTTATTTTCAGGTTTCCTATTATTTAAAGGTAATTTTGTATGTGGCCAAAATAACAAAAAACCGTGACTGAGCTCCTTTAAGAGTCATTTTTGCCCTGTCATTATCAATAATAGCCTTTGGACACGTCCACACTACGCCAGAGAAATTTGAAAACGGCGTCATCACTCTGAAAACGCATCAAATGTTTTCCGTCCACACTACTCCGGAGGAATTTGAAAACGCCTTTCTCTTTGAGGGAAACTCTGGCAGGGTTATGATGACGTCATCGTTTTCGGAAAGCTCCGTTTGAAAATGCTTTCCGTCCACAGTAAAACGTAAAGCCGGCGTTTTCAATTTTCTCTGCTCTGAAAAGCGTTTCCGAAAAGCTCCGTTTTCGTGACGGATTAGTGTGGACGGTAGGCCTAACCGTAGAAATAAAGCTGCGTTTTCAAATTCCTCCGGTTTGAAGAGCGTTTTTGAAAAGCTCCGTTTTCGTGCCGGATTAGTGTGGACGGTAGGCCTAACCGTAGAAATAAAGCTGCGTTTTCAAATTTCTCCAGCGTAGTGTGGACGGGGCTTTTAGCAATCATTTTGACATCTTTCTGCTGATTTCCAACTTTCTCAGCCAATCAAAGGGCTTGCAAAGAGCATCGAAGCAATTGCAATGAAATTCCAAAGAACAGTGTAGGCATGCAATGCGTGTAAATTAATTTCTATGTACCTAAATCCTCTGCATGTGCTAGTGATAAGCATGAAAGTTGTTTGACTTGACTTGCTGGCTAAATACTTTTGTGTGGCTTTGAAAGAGGAAAATTAAGACAAAGATGTCAAAAAAAAAAAACCATGGAAAAACTTCAAGTTATAACAACTTAAACCTGAAACCTTGATATTAATGTTGGAATCCTACACGATGATGAAATACATAGATCTAATGGTACAAATATGGTAGACTCACGGCTTTGTTTGTGAAGTAAGTTCACTAATTGGTAATGCTTGTGTTTTTTGCAGGGCTTGTGTGAAACACATCCAGTAATTTTTCACGAGAGGAAAACGGAGCGAGAGAAAGATTCTAAACGAAACGAGGAAAAAATCCATTCGCCTGCTTACAAACTTAGTTTAGAAACACGCTGGGTTTATCGTGATCGAAGAAACCTGGTTTCCACGCGCGATAAGTGTATTACTGCTGTCGAAGTTGAGGATGCTAGATCTGAAGATGGTGTCAGTGCAGATGGTAAAATCTCTTCTCAACATGGCGTCAATGTCACCACAGAGGGGCATGCGCAGAATGTGGAAGAGAAGGTTTTGAAGAGAGTTAGCTTCGAAGTTGGAGAAGATAGCTCGGAAAAAGTTGTGGGCGTTATAGAAGCGAAACGCAGCGAAAATAAGGAAGTGAAAAAGTTTGATGAGCTAACGTCTGTAGGTATGAAAACCGATGAATCTAAAAAAGTTAGCTGTCGCAGTGTTCGGAAAATTCGCCCTAAGACAAGTCGAGAGAGAACCCGAACGATTGAAGACGAAATGATGGGGGATGTTAGAAAGCTGCGACGACCTCAAACCGCACCGCCCGGTCCACCATCCACTCCAAGACTCGATGCTGAATCACGATTTTCCAATTGTGTTCCCATCAAAATTCCGACTTCCGAAGCAGTTATGGAAAGCAATAGTTTCGTGAACACGGAAAATCAAACAAGCGAAGAAAAACAAACGTTTGTTGGACATAGTGTAAGCGTAACTCCCGAAGAAGCTGAAGAAAGTCTCATTGAAAATGAGGAATTCCCGGCTTTTTCAGTTGAAATTTCCGCGGGTTCCACGCGCGAGAAAGTTGCCGTACAAGATGGCTCTCCGCGTAAGCGAGTCTCGTTTGGAGACAGTCCCAAGTCGGCGCCTGTTTCGAGAACTGCAACTCCACACCAAGAAGGAAGTATTCCACAACGAGCTAAATCATCCACAGCGTTTCAGCGGAGGCCATACAAGTCGCCTTCGCCCGTTGTTATCGTGTCGGAATCGTCTTTGGAGTTGCCAAAGGATTTACCGCCTGCTCAAGCCCTTGTGGCTCTAAGGAAACAAATTCGCGAAGATTTAGCGCAGCAGAATCGTGACTTACAGTTAGATATTCAACAGTTGTACTTGAAAAAACATTTAGAGTAGCGATTTAAAATAAATGCGCTTTTCTTTAATGGGTTATACTGGTGTGTGCATTCTTGGTCTGTTGGGTTGAAAGTTACTTTTGTTGTCCAGTCTTTCACTGCTCATATTTTGTGGGGCTTGACAAGAGTCAAAGTCAAAACTGAAGATCAAAAATGTATATTAGCAGGAAACCTCACTGATAATTTGAAAACTGAAATCAAAATTCACGGTTATCCTCGATTAGCTTCGGTCCCGTCCACACTACGGCGGAGGAATTTGAAAACGGAGGTTTCACTCTGAAAATCCATCAAATGCTTTCCGTCCGCACTACGCCGGAGGAATTTAAAAACGCTGCAATCACCGGCCATCTTGCATTTGTGTTTGAGTTAAACTCGAGCAGGAAAAAATCATGATTATCGTGGCGTCATCGATTTTCGAAAAGCTACATTTTCAAACTGTTTTCGTCCACACTAAAACGCAAAGCCGGCGTTTTCAAATTCCTACAGTCTGGAGAGCGTTTTCGAAAAGCTCCATTTTCGTGACGGATTAGTGTGGACAGAAGGCCTAACCGAAGAAGTAAAGCCCCGTTTTCAAATTCCTCTGGTGTAACCTGGCAAAACGCGAATTAACAAATTGGCGTCAGTTTTTCATGGTCTGTCCTGTTATTGATAATGAATTTCGTCATAACATTGTCAAAGTAGCTGTGGATCCGCAGATTACTTCTACGATGTTATGACGAAATTCATTGTCAATAACAGGACAGACGCATAAAAAACTGACGTCAGTTTGTTTTTTTACGATAACAGATTGTCAAATTGTCCGCTCTCGCTCGTTGACGCATCGCACAAATTATAAATTCATGTGTCCGTCCGCATACTGACGATAAAATAAGCCAATGAGCGCGCGGGAATTTCTGCAGTTATCGTAAAAAAAGAATTGTTCTATTCCTCATTTGGGGATATCTCGTGATAATACAAAAATATAGATTCTTCTCTAAGGTTTCCTGTTTCAAATGAGAGATTTTACAATGCCAAGGATATAGAAGACCGCTGGTCGGGTAGCTTTTCCTTTGAAATCCACGCACCATGTTTCATGCAAGGCCAGACGAGCCAGATCGAATTGCATTCGCAGAAATACGGCAGAAAGGTAAAAACATCCCACCCACTTCAATTAGCTTAACTTCAAGTATGTCCTTCTTTCGCTTGGTCCGTTGAGCCTGAACGCCTGGAAGGCGCTACATAGCCTTCATGTACCAGTCGACGTAACAAGCATATTTTGGTTCCGGTTTCCGATTTGTCTGTCAGCAATGACCGAAAACGCGCGGGTGCTGGAAACGACATTAACATTCTACTTTTTGCAGCAACATCACCCGCGGTAGAACTGGATATAATAATACCATTTCTTAAAAGTAACTCGACAGGGATTTGCGATGGGAATGTAAAGGTCGAGAGGGGATTACCTCTCCTATTCTTCATCCTTTCTTGGTATCTCTGGTAGCAGTCTCCCATTTTGACGTTGTGCATTTTGAGGTGTTGTATTGAATATAAAAAATTTAGTGGTTTATTAGAGACTATTCCAGTTCAAAGCCTCGCGAGTAAACTGTTTGATAGCTCAAATAAGCGGTTAACTTCAATCTATATATTTACGACTATGAGACGTTTTCTCACCCAGGATGGCTCTGTATTGGGGGTGGCTGACCATGTTCAATGTTCTTTAGCTTCTTTTGAAAGGTGCCTCAAGCATTCCTGTCCCTCCGCGGTTTCATCGCATTGATATGTCAATTCTTACTCAATTCTTACTGAGTAAAGCTCATAAATTTTGATGAAAAAAATTAACCCGGAACCTTCTGTTGAAACCATACCCAGAACCCTCTGTTCCTCTAGGCAGCTGGTGGGGTTGTGGCATGTGGAAAGAGTGGTTCTAGAGACACATGATTGGGTTGATTCTTGGACTAAGCTGGTTTTCAATTCTAATTCAATGCTTTTTTTCAGAAAATATCCACTGCTTATCGAACAAAAACTGTTCAACTAGAGCATCAACAATCAAGGGAATTTAACACAAAAATTAATCTGGCAGGAAGTTGCATTCATATGTTTCAAAATGGAGGATGTGAAGGACTTACAGTAGGTGCTGTGATCAAATCAAAGTCAGACAACATTTTCGTTGTTGGAAGAAAACAGTTTTATTACATGTACTTTTCCTCATTGATTAGCGGCACTGGAGGCGGCAGCGGCACCACTTTTCTTCTTTTGGGACTTGGCCTCAGTTCCCTCTCGGAATCCATTCTTAAAGCGGCGGTACAGCACTTTGAGGTGGCGCATGCGGCCAGTTCCTGTGGTCTTTCTTCGCTTTGCCTTGATGCTCCAGTTAACTAAAAGAAAAGTTAGGATATTTTAAGAACTTTCAAACAGTTTTTACGAAGGCAGCTTGTCATTTGAACAGAAAGACTGTGAGACTGGCTCTCTTTTCCTCAAAAATCTGTGGGGGAGAATGCAAAACAAGTAAGCGTGCCAGCGTGACTGTGAGTGGCGATGCCGTGAGCTGCTCATAGCGTGGGCGTTAGAAGATGAGCGAAAAGAGAGACTGCAATGGTTTTATACAACATTTTTGATGCGAGGCACTCTGATGGAGTAATTCAATTGGTCAATCCACCAAGTTATGACACACATCTGTTAGTAACCTTTATTACAGAGTTTGGCATGGGCTGCATGTCACTTATTAAGTAACATGCAGCCCATGCCAAACTCTGTTGTCAATGTCTGTCTCCTACGGTGTGACCCCTACGGTTTGTGACATTTGCCGCTCTTTTTTAAATTTCAATCTTGCAACCTTTCCATTGGTTTTATGCTTCACACTTATTTTTGAAGGACTGTGGTATTAGGAGGACTTAAGAGTAGAGTAGAGCCGTTTGGACAAGCAGTACGACAATTTTTGAGTGATCATAGGTCTGGTTTCAGCTGCAATCTGTCAAACCATTCATCACATCTTACCCGATATAGCTCTGATTGATTTGTGTAAAAAATTAGACACTGGAGTGTCATGTTCAAAAAAGGGCAGAAATGTCATTGATGCAACCTGTCAAAGTAGCATCCAAAATGTTGTATGAAACCACTGCAGTTTCTTGTTTCGCTTGTCTTCCGACGCCTGCACTTCATGCTCTCAGTCACAGTCTCACGCTTACTTGGTTTAAGTTCTGCCCCACGGGTTTTTGAGGAAAAGAGAGACTGCTCACTGTCTATTGAAGTGATTTCAATAGGCGATATTAGTATTCCCAGTACTGCAATGGAACTAGCTTGCAACTAAGGCTAATGCAGGGAGTCTTTTCAAATGCAAATGACATGATCTCTTTTTAATGTTATTCCACTGCTGAGCCTCCATTACAAGCTTAGTTAAAGTCCAATGCCAAGAACACGAATATGGTCTATTAGTATCGAGACTAATCATCCTGGGTCAACCTGGGTCAGCTTTCTAGCATTTTAAATCCCTTTGTCCAACATTTTTCTGATTTCTACGGCTGAAAAGTTGTTTCATCTAGGAAGATGACAAAGAACCAAGGGTTTCATTAAGGGACAGGCACCAGGCAAATTGACTGACTGTGAGGATGACACTGTCCACCTGGTCTGACCAAAGTTTTTCTTGTAAAGAAGAAGTTCAGTTCAGAAAGTTTTGCCCGCCTGTAAAAACCATTTGTCCTCCTACTGAAAAATTATGAAACCCCTGAAAGAACAGAAGCATTGAGCCTCTCATCCATAATCAGGATTAACACAAAACTTTGAATTTAATTCATGTAAGTGGTCACAATTGTTACAAACAAAAACAGAAACAAACTCTCAAAAGTGAGCAGTAATGCAAATGCAAGTGTAAAAAATGTAAATCTTCTTTAGAGTGGTAATGCACTTAGCTATTCAAGCACTAAGCTTAACTAGTTTACGGGCATACTAATGAAACAAAGGAAACAAATATTTCAAAATAAATGTAACATAGTTAAAAATCCCAACTAGCAGGAGGCAGACCAGTTGGCTATTTGCAAAACGTGACTGGGGATTTGAAATTGGGACTACCAAGAAACAAATTCTGCTAGTGGCAGGGTGGAGGCCTTGAACCCGGGACCTCCGGATTACAACACCAGCGCCCTAAATCACTTGGCCATGCTGCTGAGAGGTTTAGAGCTTTAAGGGTTCACGTTTCTATTTGCTATCAAGAGACTTACATTTCCTGATCCTAGCAGCTGGGTAGCCACATGAAGCACACCGCTTTTTCTGGATATGGTAAGCTGATCGACCACAGCGCACACAAAGGGTGTGTGTTTTGTTATGGCGCTTACCAAAACTAGATGTTCCCTTCGTCTGTGAATGAAAATAGTAATAATAACATGTTTAAGAACAGTTTACTGAAGAGCATGTTTAAAACACAAAATGGCAAAATGGCACAAAACAATGTGGGATACAGTTAACCTATGCAATTATCGAGAGCTAACCACCTTCAACTCAGTGATATTTAGGCTAAGCTGAGCATTATTTAGCCTGACCAGAGTGCTATTTCGGCTAACCTGAGCGTTATGTAGGCTAACTGTGTTGAAATGTTGTCAATTTGTGTTTTGAACACCACAGTCTGAAGGGATTCAGATGCACAATCGTGCCAAGAACTGTTTGCTTTAGAGACATAAACAAGCTCTATGCTTTACTCTAACACTTCATGTATTTTAGTCTTGCAACGTGAAGCATAAAGAATTCTTTCATTTTCTCATGATAATCATTCCACAAAAAAGTTTGAGAAGAAAAGTTAAAGTTAGTTCCATTTCGTGTGGTATTTAGCCAAAGAAGAGGTTTATTCACAGAAACTCGCTAATTTTGCCTTTTCCAATTTGATTATTCTGATTTGCCTCTTCCAAAACTTTTAGATTTTAACCCCTGCTTGACGCTTTAAGTTAACATGAGTTGAAAAATAAGCAGAAGACAATATGAAAGGAAAGATCTGAGGGAAAAGTATTTCCAGAGCTCCAAAACAGAACCTCGTTGCTACACGGTAGCAAAATTTCACCACCAAATATCAGTGACTCGATGAATAAAAAATACACGCCACATATCGACGTAAGGGAGGGTAGTTTATAATTCCAGCATGTAAGATTCGAATTTTAGTCATTCTACAGGAAGATGGAAGTGGATTTTAACGTGAGGGATACAAAATTCTCACCATTTCTTGATAAGGCCGTAAAAGAGAGGACGGCTTGGGAACCAGGCACAACACATATTCCCATAAGGCCGCGCGTCACTTGGGTTGAGCCTGCAGTATGTAGGGTTCAAAACAAACATGGCGCGGAATTGTGAGAAGAAGCTCATTGGTCTTAACAGATTATGGCTGGCAAAACAGCAAAAAGGTTTATTTCTATATTGTTTTTGACTCGATATTGTCTAATATGGGTTTTGAATATTCTTTCCTTTGACGTTTTATTGCAGAGGAACTGGAAAAAAGTCCAAAGAGGCCACATCTAGTAAGCATCAAATTGTTTAGTTTTTGAGTAAAAGCTCTTTTATAAATAGCCAATTAAATAGCCAGGTTTCCATTTACTTATGTATTTTATGACTTAAGAAATAAGTTTGGGTGAAACAAAGAAAACCAAAGAAAGATAAGCAGTAATAATTAACAGTTTGATGATACGATTGGTGATTTGTTTGTTATTCTGACAATATCAATGTGACTAAATCTGTAATATATTTTTCACTCTAGCGCTCCTTAAACAGTGCTACAGAAGTCAAAAGGTGGATCCCTGGAATTAAAAGGGAAATGGATTATTATTTAGATGTAAGTTAATATAGTAGTAATTTAGTGGTTTCATTCCAGAACTACTAATATTTCGATTCTGCTTGTCTGAGATTGTTAAATGTAAGTTCTTGGACAGGAATTTTCACTCTTAGTGCGTCTTTCCACCTAGGGCTATAGATGGGGAGACAGGAAGGGGAGTAAGATTTGATGGCACTTAACAATTCGTTTAAGACTAAATTAAATTAGATATTTTAGATCAATATTTAGTCAATATTATTTTAATCTACATGTATGAAATTGTGCTTCATAGCAGCTATCTGGAGCTAGACAACACCGGTATCCTGACACAAAAATAAAAGAATTTGAAAATAAGGTGGAAGAACTTGAAAACGAATATAAAAGGTAAAATGTTTATTTTAACTTCTTAATTACCTACAATGTTTGTCAACACAGGTCGATATTAATTATTAAGAAGATGGGAAATAATCAGAATGAAAATAATTCTCCACCAAGCCATTTGCACTGTCTTCAGCAGGAGACATGACTGTGAGGAGATTTAATGCAATGCTTATATTCATGCAATGCTGCATAACTATTCCAGTATTACTTGAACTACATTAGATGCCTGTATATTCATGAACATATAACATTCAAGGTTATACATTATGGTCGGCATACACAAGGGGACTAGTGCCTGCGTCTAGTCCCTGCAACCAGTCCCCTGAAGAGTTTACCCGAAGGGGCTGGGACTTGTCCCACGAACAGTTCACACGAAGCATTTTGAGGAACAAGTCGCAGGGACTTGTCCCAAAAATTCACACTGGTTTGAATTCGTTGGACTAGTCGCAGGGACTAGCTTTTTTGGTAAAACTCCCTGTGAAGTTGAAAGAAAGAGAAAAAAAACCTCTCTGACACGTTGAAAGTCGGATTTAATTAATTTGCACTTTAACTTGGTGCCATGCAGTCTTCAAAGAACATTTGAACAGTTTTCATAATTTTACCTTTAAAAGAATGTCATAAAATGCCCATCAAATAAAGATATTAAACTGCTACTGCAGAGACGTAAAAACCATCCAGAAATGAAAGCATCTTTTTCGTTTAATATCCTGGGAACAATAGCTGATAACATGTCAGTTCTAATTGAATTTACTCCCATATAAAAAACAAAAGTGTTGAGCTACCATTTGTAACTAAAGATAGCAAACATCTCGTGGGAACAAGTGGTGACGATTCGTCAGCTCTAATTGAATTTACTCCCTTGTGAAAAACAAGGG